AAATAGTTTAAAAATATGTACAACATAAAAAATGAATATATCATATTTTTACTATTAACTCAAACTTATAAAAATAATATTTTAAAGCCATAAAATGTAGGCTTGAGTTTTGAGTAGAATTAAATTTTAACAGGTGTTAATATACATAAGTTACCCTAAGCAATTATTGTGAAATTACCAAGGCTATGAATATAGAAGAATCAAATGCCTTACTTTTTAGAATTTTTGTAAGTGGAAAATGTTAATTTATAATGGCTGGAAAAATTAACAAGTATGAGTATTAAATATTGTGCAGCTCCCTCTTAATACACTTTGTTCGTTGGCTTTCTGTTTTAAAATGGTTTTCCTTCCTGAAGTTCTTATTGTAAATGATTTTCCTTTTTAATGTTAGCAATAAGAATTTAGTAGGTGCATTGTTAGTTCTTGATTGCAATCACAAATGGACTCTTCAACTAGGATAACCAAATGTCCCAGTTTGTCTGGATGTAAGGAGTTCCTGAGACAAATGACTTTCAATGCTAAACCCAAGAAAGGCCCAGGTAAACCAAGATAAATTGATCACTGAGCAATTCCAGGACATTTCTTCCACCACTTTCCGCTTCTAGTCTCTGTCACAGATATTTCACTTTCTCCATTCATTCACATCTCACGACCTTTATTCATCTCCTTCCTGTGCCCCTCAAGGTCTTCAGATAACCTAACCTCTTACTTCCCAGAGAAAATGCAATCTCCCAGTCAGCAGCTCCTTGATCTTCCTGTGTCCAGACACATACTCTACTTACATCTACATTCCTGCCACCCCAAATCCCTCTCCTTCTAATACCAGAGAGACATGGTCGGCCTCCACACATGTGAGATGTGCATCCTTTCCACGGTGCTTTCAGTTGTTTCCTACTGCCCTCTCAGCATCCCTTGTATATTCAACCTTTCCTCTGGATTCTTTCCTTCAAGTCCCTCACGTTTAAATCACCAGTCGTCATCATACAAACCAAAAACACATCTTCTTATAATTATCACAATCCCTCCTTCCTCATTCTTCACAAACATCCCAGGAGCACTATCTGTGTTTGCTGTAACATTCTCTTACCTCCAACTTCCTGCTTAATCTGGCTTTCAGCCCCATCACTCCACAGCTTTTGTAAAGTCTCTGATAATCACTGCAATAAATAATCAAGAATATTTTTCAGTCATCAGCAACCTTAGTCTGTTGATTATTTCCTTTCCCCTAAAATTCTCCCTGCACTTGGCCTCCACAATATTGCCTTATTCCATTTTTCCTGCTTTCCTCTGATCATTGTTTGTCTTTCTCTAGAAGCTCCCTGTTCTCTACAAGACCACTAAACAGATAATGAAGGAGGGGCAGTGTGTGTGTGTGTGTGTGTGTGTGTGTGTGAGAGAGAGAGAGAGAGAGAATAGATCAATGTGTGGAGATACAAACCAGCCTCATAAGCATCTCTGGCTCTATTGTGTTCTCTGTCACCATTATCCGAGCCATCATGTTTTATCTAGACTACAGCTCATGTGCACTCTTCCCACTTGCTCTCCTTCCGTCTTCCACCACACCTTGAGCAGAGTGATCTCTTAACATGCAAACTGGATTGCATCATATCCCTGTTTGTCCTTAGGATAAGGAACAAAGCCTGTAATATAGCTTACAAAGGCCCTGCATGTTGTGTCCCGCACAGTCCAATGCTCTCTGAGTTTTGGCCACATGGACCATTTTTGCATCCCTCCCAAGTGAAGGGACTTGGCTTAGGCAGCTTACTCTGCCTGGGATTCTCTTCCCTTCCTACTTGCATAGTCAACTTCTCTCTCTCTGCAGCTCTCAACTTAATTATCCAATTACCGCCTCCTCAGAAACCCCTTCCATGACTTCCTGACGGGTCAAATCCCCCTATTTTATGCCCATATGATGCTTCGTGATATTTATCACAGTCGTAATTTTATTTATTTGTGTGATTAACATTTATTTCACATAACAGATCATAAAATAGAATTGTGTTTCTTTGTACTCACTACTGATTCACCAGCTAGCACGGTGCCATTTACATAAAAAGGATTCAATAATACCTGTTCAGTGAATATTAATTATTACTACCTCTTTTTTCTTGAAATAGATTTTATTTCATTGGAGTGTTTAAAACTCTAGCCAAAAATCTAACAAAAATATTATATGTGGTATTTTAACTTAATAAAAGTACAATCTTAATATTTACATTTTGAAAATATAATGTCCAATAAATATAAAAGTAACAACCACGTAATATCCACTCAGTAATTTAAAATAAAATTTTTAAATGTTACAAGAAATATACTAATTGTTGGGACAGTTATAATTGATATATCTGACTTTAATATTCCATTTGCAGAAAACTATCTGAGAAAATATAAAAAATGCCAGGGTGGTCTCCGTGAGACTCTAACCTTGTTTACTAAACATTCCTAACCATATTATTTCTTAGAAATTGCTTTTGTCCCTTACATATAATTATCTTCCTCTACCTTTCAGACTTTCCAACCTGCCTTCTGTGTACTTGTATAAGTACCACTGTATACTGTGATGACCATGAACTTGATGCTGTTCCTCCACTGCCCAAGAACATTGCTTATTTCTATTCCCGCTTCAACAGAATTAAAAAGATCAACAAAAATGACTTTGCAAACCTAGGTATGAGTGATATTATTAATGCCCTCCTCTTTTTTACAGACTTCCCTAAAATTTTTATAGTGTAAAGTGTTGGTATTGACAATAAAACTTGAATGCCAAAATATTGTTCATAAATCAATTATCTTTTCTTATTTAAATACTTGAGGATTTGCTTTAATTACGATAAGAAAAAAACAACAAATAATTAATGATCGTTGTGAAACTATGTAATTGTTGATATTTTCAAATGAACTATTTTCAACTATTTATAAATCACAAGTAATTATATTTTGTATGATAAACGTTATCATGTGATATTGGAGTGAAAAATGGTCATGTATTTATGAGAATTTGGCTTTTCTGAATAAGCTTCCATTAAAGTATACCTGCTTCATGACTGATGAATTCAAGCCTAAATTCCAACTTCATAGTTGTTTCCAACTTAAAAGAATTTTGGCACTTCTTTTCATAAAGTGTTTTAATCATTTGAAGATTTCTGTTTAATGCCTGTATCTTTGACTGTTAGAAAATTCAACATTTTCCCATCACCGAGGAAAGCATTTTAAATAGTAAAATACGGACAAAGTTTATAAAGAATGTGGAAAAAAGACCAGTTACTTTAAATATAAGGTGTCAATTTCTTTGCTAAAGATATAATTTCTTATAAGTGCATAAATATAAATGGTATTTGAAGGAAACAATTTTACAAAATAGGTAATTATTTTATTAACTATCTGTTTCTAATTAAATCCATATTTATATTTGCTACATGTGGGAAAATTTATACTTATATTTTTATGTGAGTATAACATATTCAGGAATATTCAACTACTTCCTTCATTTTTGCTTCTAGATGGTTTAAAAAAGATTGATCTGACATCAAACTTAATATCTGAGATTGATGAAGATGCATTCCGAAAACTGCCTCAACTTCGAGAGCTCGTCCTGCGCGATAACAAAATAAGGCAGCTCCCAGAATTGCCAACCACTTTGACGTTTATTGATATTAGCAACAATAGACTTGGAAGGAAAGG